AAAAAATACAAGCTAACATCATAATTGCCATGTGGACATGTTATGAAAGCATGTATAATGAGTCATAACCTGATGCACACACCAGTAATGTGTTTTTTTTTATAATCATAGGTCAGATAATGGACGTGTTATGGGTTAGAACAGATGTTAGCACAGTGTGTTATGTACCATAAAATAGAGTTTAGAGTTTTACTCTCAGGCTTGGCTAACATCAGCTCGCACCTCCGATTAGCACGGTGGGCTATGTACGGTCCGAAAGAAGTTCAACATACATACAGTTATGAGGGATATCAGGATCTATCCTAAACGCATGCCGCCCCCTTCACCAACTCGCACTGACCAACGTGGTGAAGTATGGTTACGCAACCCCCCCCCCCATGACCAACGTGGCATGGAGAAGCCTTCATCCAGCAGTGGGTTGATAAATTCATGTAAATTGTCGTTAGTTTTAAAAGATGTGTACAAACACCCATTGTCCTCGTATAAACAATTGTTTTCGCAATAAAAATGTGGGGTGGGATCAAGACAATGGTATTAATTCACACGCGCGTGCACACAATAAAGCACATAAAGGGTATACGTCTATTTAGCCTTGCAGACCCGAGAGACAAGCTTTGTTAGACAATTACTAGCGTTTGACAGTACTCTCTTTATTGTCAGCCAACACGGGTATAAACATGGGCATTTTCGTTCCTTTTCTATTATGTACATCCACAGTGACTTGCGCACAAACACTTCCTTGACCACGACCACGATTACCCCGTCCCTCTTTTAGCCCCGCCCCCCTTCCAGATACGTTCCATTCATTGGCTACCACATTCTGATAAGCCCCTCCCCCCTCCCCTCCCCCCTTAACTGGTACTTAAGAGCTTGCATCTTAAATCCCGCCCTCACTTGATGCAGCAAATCTGGCTGTGACGGTCCCACCTGATAACGGAGACTTGTGTTGCCTCCGAAACGTCGTGATTATATTGTTTTATTTTTAAAAAAATGTATTTCATTTTTTATCTACGTGACTTTACCGAAAGAACTAAGAGTATGAATTACTGAGATTATTTGGCTGATATCAATGTCCATATGTTAAGGCACTTCGTTGAGTCACCATTTTTGGCCAGGTCGCTTCTGAAAAAGAAGCTAATAGATCAGTTGGCTTTACCTGGTAAAAGAAAAAAAGTTTTTTTTCGTAATTTACTTATCCATACTCTGCGCCCCTGTCGTGTATTGTATCGTTTGTCATTGCAACGTTCTGACCCCGTTCCCCTACTCGACATCTGTGAGGAAGAGCTTAATAGCTCATCGGATTCCTCCAGGACATATATAAGTATTCTGATTGGTGAGCGCATATGAATGTCTGCCTGGCACAAGACGGTGGTGTGACTGCACGCTGATGTTTACACACTCCTGCCCCTGATGTGCATCATGGCCAAGAATTCAATACATGTCAGTCCGATCTTAGCATAGTGTGTTAACCGCTCCGCTAAGCACACAAAATAAAGACAAAGATCCCCAGTGTAGCCTTCACAGACTGTTGCTTCAAGTGCTGTTAGCGAGCACCTATGAAGGGCGGCAGGGAGTGGGGTGTGAGACCAACATCATGTCTGGCTACCTTTGTCTCCCCGGTGCTGGTGTTTGCACACTGCACCAGGTATTCATTTAAGGCTGAGTCAACCTTCAGGAGGCGTATGACCGGTTCAGATAAGCACCACTGATGTGATCCGTAGTTTGGATTTGAACTCAAGCTGGTGGGCTCATAGCACAGTGCGCTAACAACTCCACAAAACAACACTAAGGGCCTTTACAGGAATTATAAATTTTGTACAAAAAATCAAACAAAGCTGGCACATGTAATACAATAGGGTTATTGTGCATGCCAGGGAACGTTTCCTATTTTTGTGAAATGCTTATTTACTGTAAGTCCCTCGTTTATTGTCGAACTGTATCGCATTCACAACGTAGCTCTTTCACATTTTCCATTAAATCTGTTATACCACAATCACTGGTAACCAGGATGGGACCAACGACTCACCCACGCATGAGAACGGGGATTAATTAAGGGTAACTGCTCGGATTCGAACCTCGGATATTTGGGTTACGAGCATGGTGAAGAAAAAGTAATGGAGCCGCCGTGACCGACTCAGCAGTGAATTGACAAGGATGTGTTTCTCAATTCAAACAGGTATTGGGAGTTGTCATTATACATTGGTGCCTCTGAGCAATTGTTGTAAATTACACAGTGCTTTGGTCGGCGCCAGTTTAACCATAGGGCAATCCACAGTCATTTTGGCATATTGATCATTTGAGTGCTTTCTATCATAGTATATTAACAAGGGGTGGAGCAGATAGCTTCCTGCGCTATGAACCCCGCGACCCAAGTTCAAGTCGCTTCCACGGCTGACATCAGTGGCAAGTGATGTCAGGACCGGTCCAGGCCCAGACCAGAACATAGAAAGCTCGCACCTTTTTTAGCGAACCCTATCCATGGCGATCAAACCGGCAACCCCACAGAAACTGGCCTCCATGGCAAACACTGACCTCTACATATTGTTTTTGTGCTCTAATGCCACTGCAGCCCAATGTATTCCCACCTGCATTTAAATATATATATATATTTTAACCATACGCTATATTTGAACGTGATATGAAAACAATTCTAAAACAAACAAACACGAGGTTGAATCACAATGTTATTGTTTCATCAGACGCAGCACTCACTATTGTCAATCACCCATTGCACCCATTATATCTGCAGCATTGTGTGCACTCGCTCTAAGACCTTCTTTCTATCCATTGTGCTGCCTTCATCCTTGTTTGACCCCATTGCACTCCATTGTATTGCTGGACACGCCGGGCAACACTTGGTCATATTGTTCCGTTGGACAGGATAGACAGTGGGCATTCACGAGCCATTGAATGAGCCTCACTATAATATGACAGCACGCAATGGTTGGGTTTAACAATGCACGTGTTGCTTTGCTTCACATCTGTCAGTGATTGATTAGAACTAATTGGTGAGCAATCATTACGCATTATTGCTAAGCAGTTCCGCAGTGTTTATTGCCCCTACTTCATGACTATTGTATTATGCATTGCATGTTGCGCGTTACATGTGTGCCCTCAACATTCAGGCACGCGGCGGTCATTTGCGCCTTTTGAGATGCCCATCGCAGCAGACCCACACGTCAAATTGAATAATGACCCAGAAGTGATAACGGGTTAAAAATGTGAAATCCTTGAGGGTCTCTCCTTCAATATCCAGAGCGATTTCTCCAAAAAGACCAAGGCGAATACCCCCCCCAAGAGTCTTGGCAAACTGCGAGGGAAGGTGCTGTTCGTGAGTAGCGTTAACAGACCGATGGGTGACCAGCACCATGCCCGGCCATATTTGTCTCCACAATGCTGAAGTTTAACACAGCACCAGGTGCTCACTTTAGCCTTGTTGTCTGTGGCTGGGAATGGAACTTGGGCCGCCGTGTTTGTGCGGAGTGTGCTAACCGCTGTGGTAAAGAGACTGGTGGCTCCACCTGAAACATGCGTCCAGAGTATTTGGATGCTGTATATTTTCACATGATAAGCCACATCGAGCTATCATTTGTAGCGACGTCGCTTCTAAAAATAGTTATATAGCTCAGGAGGCTTTACCTGATAAAATACACATTTTAATAGATAGAAAATAGGTGCGCACATTTTCCAATTGCTTCTGGCTCAATCAAACATCCGGTGGAACTTCCCTCCATGTCACTTTCACGAGACAGGTGGGCGGTCTCTCTGTTAGGACACCTACAGTTTCCTTCGCACAAAGTGTTTCTTATTTTATTGGTCCAGAGGGATGGTGGGCTGATTATATCCCCAGCAAGTACTGCCTTTCTGTTAACTTTCTAATTGAGCCACATTCGCTGGTAGGTTAAACACAAACAAATTTTATTACTTGAGATTCCTGCATTTCGAAGGTTATTTAGGCCAATATCACTGGTGCTTACGCACAGTGCTATTTCTTCCTTCCTTCTGCCAGTATCCAAAATTGCTGCACAGTTGACGCATCACCTCTCCGTGGTTTTCTTTTTAAGGCTTCATGCCTGCCCCTTGCTGGCTGGCCGCCGACTTCCACTCCAATATCTCCGTCTCGTATTATTAGTTTCCTTAAATCACTGTCATATAGATTATGTTGATTTGACATCTAAAAATAATGTACCACTTTAGAATTGTGAGCTCTGTAGCTTGACCTATAATTAATTATCAGTGCCTGCCGCTGCTGTCCTCATATTGCCCCAGGCGATCGTTGCCGTAGCCACATTAATTTATTTACTGGAAGTGATCGACCATTACGAGCTAAGTAAAGGCAATTTGTTTTTACTCGGGTGAAGCTAAGCCAAGCCAAAGTGGACATTGGGGCAGCACTCATCTTCAGGAGCCAGTGACCGTGTATGAGCCAGGGCTGGATATTCCTTATCCCAATCGGAGTGGCCAGTTTCACGTCGATAAGGTAAATGCTGCTGAATTCTCACAGAGCAAATGTGTGAGAGGTAGTGGTAGTGGTGAGTGCACTCCGCTACCAATCCGGCAAACCGGGTTTGACCCCCGGTCACGGTCAGCACCAGTGACGATTATCTGACCGGTCCTGGGCCTCTCCTGGGTCAACTCAGCCTCAAAATAGTACCTGGTGAAGGTGAGTAAACATCGTTACTAGGGAGACAAAGGCGGCCGGGCGTGATGCTGGCCACCCACCTCTTCGTGCAATGTGCCGGCCTTCACAGGTGCTCGCGAACAGCACTTGTCCCTGCAGCCTGTTAAGGCTATACCGGTGATCTTTGTTTTTTTTTTGTCTTTTTCTTAGGGTTCCATCACCAAAACACCCACTCGGCTGATACACTCCGAGAACCCGTGCTGATGCAGGATGACTGCACTCTGCTTAGGAGTCACGCATCACTCCCCCCCCCCACCCCCCAAATACCGCGTTCACACCGCGGGGAGAGTCCGACGCTGCTGGTCTCTCTTCCCGACAGGTCACGCTACGACGTGCTTGTGCCGGCGCTGTGGGGCAGCGAGGTGCACAAGTGGGAGATTGACACGCTGCAGGCGGTCGTGCAGGAGGAGGAGGAGGATGAGCTCATTACGGGTGACTCACCCTGTGAAGCACGGCACCGCACGACATGCATGATAGGCAGCAGTGTCTGCCTGCCTACGATATAAAATAGTCTTTTATTATTACTAATACTACTACGCTTGTTTACCCGGGGTAGCGTCGTCGAGTCTCAAGACACTTTGGCAGCAACAGTCCTGTCCATGTATTTCGCAATCGAGGCCGGTGGGAGCGATGTCGCTTACAGTATAATACTAATGACGTATCTTCTTGGTTCTTTCGGTAAAGTCACGTAGAAGGGAAGTAATAAAATAATAAAAATAAAACGTGACTTTACCGAAAGAACCAAGAAGATGAATCCCTGCAGTCACGAAAGCTTTAAATCGAAAAAAAAAACTAATGACGTAATTTGAAGGTAATTTTTCAGCATTGGGATGATTGGCCAGTGCCAGTCACATTTTATATGGGCGGTTGTTCAGCGATGGGAGACAAACCTTGAGAAGCCAGAGGGGAGACCGTGCAAATGACACGCAGAAAGGCCACCGAGTCAAGAATCGAAACCCAGACCCTTTTTAAATCCTTTATATTAAGTTCGCATGCTTGCGTGCTTGCTTGCTTGCTTACGACCGTGCAAATTTTTCGGTCGTTTTTTAACCCACTTCCCGTGATCCAATCGAGCTGACATTTTCCACACATACTCGTTGTGCCAGACAATTAATGTTCGTGAAAAAAAATTCCCAAAATTTTACACTTTTTAGGCAAAAAAAAAATTAGTTTACATATATTCAAATAGAACGCATTCATGGCTTTGGCTGAACGTCACATTGTAGGAGCCCAGAGCGTAACCCCTCCATAGGCCGTGGTGGAGTAGCTCAGTTGGTAGCGCCCTCGCTTCCCATGCCCAAAGGTCGCGGGATCGATCCCCGCGTCCTCCACAGGCGAATATATTTTTAAATCCTTTATATTAAGTTCGCTGCCACGCATATGAAGGATTTATAGTGAAAAACTTTGTTTTTACGGGTTATACTTATTACACACTTAATTTTTTTATTTTTAACTCACTCCGTTTGTTGTCGTATCCTCAAAAAAATCTTCTAACTCAAATTTTACCCACTTTACAATGTGCTATCGACTGCAAACTTGGCATACTTATGTCATACTGATGACAAGACTATATTATATCATTACAATTTTAAAATATATATTTTTAAACATTTTACACGCTTTTTTTGTAACTCACTCTGTTGTATTCTCAAATCTTGTAACTCAATTTTGACCCACTTCCAAATGTGGAATCGACTGCAAACTTGGTATACGTATGTGATACTGATGACAATACCATATTCTATCATAAAATATAAAATATTTTAAGCATTATTTTTTATATGTTATGTTTCGGCTTGGCTCTAATTGTCCACGGTCAAATGACGTTGGCTATATTTGGCCACGGTCCCTAACGTTATGGCAAGCTTCGGGGCCACTTCTTGGAGTCGTGGAGTTCATCCATTACTTGTACATTTCATAAAAACGTGTTTCTAAGAAAGTTTTTGTTTTATATTACTTATTTGCTGTGAGCACAAGTGTTACTACCGGGCCAACCTGCCACCCATATAACCAAGGTCGCTGTAAGCATGTGTATGTATATATATGGTCGGGGGCACAGCTGGTGCATCTGCCAGTCATCTCAGTTAGTCAACCGATGGCACCTGGGTCTGTCCCGTGACCTCCTGTCAGCGAGCCTTCGACACTCCACGTGGCCTCAAAGTGCACCTGGCCTGGCACAAGCGCCGTGGTGATGTCACCACCGCATAAGGCGGGTGCTGTATGTATCTATGTTGAACTTCTTTCGCACCGTACGTAGCCAACCGTGTATGGAGAGCTCCACACGAATGCTGAAACATTGCGAGTTTTTAAACCCAGTCGGGGGGTTAACTCCCCCCACCATCTCTCTAACATGATCACCAACCTGTGGGAAGTCATCAGTGGTTGTGCTGTGGGCAGACTGACACCCACCAGTAACGTGGAAATTCCACTCTTGGACATGCAACCACCGATGGACACGAACAATGCCCCCCCCCCCCCCGCACTTGTTTGAATAAGCGGACACTTTGTCACTTTGGCCAATGCAATTGCATGAGATACGTAGACGGGAGAAAATGCGCGTGCGTGTTCACGCACAGCGGTGAGCACGGGGCAGTGCAATGTTTCGCCGGCCTTGCGATTCCACGAATCGGCACGATTTCAGTTCAAGCATCAATTTGTTGAATTTAAATGTGTTGATTGTGTCGATCCTTAGCGGCTGGAGAAATCCCGTGAACCAATTACATACAACGTGTAGCCTATGAAGCCAAACATCAATTCCTAAGCATGCGATTCTGTGCAGGTATCGTGAACCAATTATCGTAGATGCTGATGAATCACTAAAGTGTGGCAACCCTACTTAGCGCACTGTGCTACGATCCCAATAGCGCAGATTTTGATTGCTAGCCATGCCCGATAGTGACAATTCGGTAAATATATTTTGTTGTGTGTCGATTGGCACATGTATTTTTTTTATTGATTTATTCTGATGTCGATTTGCTTCAGGGCCCTAATTTTCTTCTTGTGGCCTAGGTCACTTGCAAATGAGACTCGTCTTGGTTTTTTCGTTTCAGTTTTCAAATCAGTTAGACAAAATACGCTTAAACTTGATTTACGTGATCTGGGCCAAACTTGGAGCGAATTGATCAAAAACAAAGTGTGTAAATGCGGTCTGTCAACAAACAACACGGCCACAAATGTACACACAGCACGCGGCTTCATGAGTTATGCAATGCCATCAACTGTGCCCAAAGAACTGCATTGTTATCCTATTGTCTCGGTCGTTGTCAAATAAACGAGAGCAAATGTGACTGTCAGGCAGCGGTGAGACAGAGGGATAACCTTAGACCGACCGGCTTCATCTTTCTTAAGGCTCATCAATACTCATCTTATACAGTTTATACTGTTATTATGGGTATTCATGTCGACAGCAGTTCAGTATTGTGTGATACATAGGCAGATTTCCCTTCCATTGTGGTCTGTGAATAGATGCTCACGAATACCACTGACCCAGCAGAATATTGAGGCTAAGTTGTGGATGTTCGTGTGTGTCCACCAGCGTGTGCATGTTTAATTACGCGTGTTTGTCTTTAAACATGTTTGTTTGTGTGCGCCTATAAGTGTACACGTACGCATGTTTCCGTGTGGATGGTTTTTTCACTTCTGTTTTTGTTTGGGGATCAGCCATCGAACAAAGACGGTCACCACATCGCGCGCGTTTAGATGTGCGTCTGCGACCGTCTGGAACACTCTTCTTTCCGATATTAGGAAGCCACTGGAGCTAAGCACTTTTAAATATAGATTGAAATCTCATTTCTTTAGAACTGATTTTCGTGTTTAGTTGTTGTGCTTCACCTCCCATTAGCCTGATTGGCTGCATAGGATGCAAAATAAGTTCAACATTCATATCTCTCCCCCACTGTGGCCATACAGGCCCTTAATAGGTGCTCGCTAACAGCACTTCTCCCAACAGTTCGTAAAAGGCTAAACAGGGGGTCTTTTCCTTCGAGTGTATGTGTGCATGTCTTTGTTTTTGCATGTGCGTGTACACGTGCCCGAAATACAGGCCCTACATTTTTGCAGTAATAGCCATCAATTCTCTTGTTAACCCTTCCAATTTCTCTCTTGAATGCGTTTCCTCTAAATGCGTTATATTGCCTCTTGTGTTGTTCCTGTGCACCTGTGTCCGAGTGCCATTTCCATGCCTTTGCATTCATCCCCTGCTCACTCTTATTTGTTTGGCTTAAGCGTTCCAATCCACCCCTCCTCGCAGTGCTCACTGTCATCACAGTTGCTCTCATTTCGTCCGCTGATTATCGCTTTAGTTATTTCGGTTTTCCACTCTGTGCGCATTATCCTCCACCGTGATTGCCTTCAACCGTCACAGTTGGGAGAACGGGGCCACTTTCTGAGAAATCCCCACCACACTTGGTTGCGTTAAAACCGTCGTTCGCATTTGGCTTCTCTCAAACGTTCTAAATGCTGTCATTAGATTAACAAATTGCCCTTTGTTACGATGACAATTATATTTTAAATACACGCTAAAAAGGTGTAATTTCAATTTAATCTCGTTTCTTTTTAAAATAAACGTTTTCGAAGGTAGAACGATTATGGATTCCGTACTTTGATGCAACCGTCCACAGGAGTCTTTGTGGATATATAGTACCAAGAACTGGACATTAAAAATTGTTGTTTTTTAAATTGTGTGAGCTTAAAAGGTTAAAAGACGTTGTGTTTTTTTTAATGAACTAAATATATCTAGATGAGTGGTGCTGTGACAGAATGCTTTGCTCATTAGTGGAAGGTTGTGAGTTAACATCCCAGCTAGGGGACAAATCAGCCAATCATCCCTACATGGCCTATAAAATGAGTACCACATTTTAATGTGGAATTCCACAGCTTGCTCAGGGCTACCACTGAAGATGATACACACCCCAATTGTTATTTAAGGAAGGAGACCCAATTAGCACGGTTTGTTACACACGGTGTGTAAGAAGTTCAACATACATACGTACATCAAAGATCCCCCGTGTAGCCTTAACAGACTGTTGGAGCAAGTGCTGTTAGCGAGCACATATGAAGGCCGGCACAGCACACAAGTAGGTCGGTGGCCAGTAACCACGCCCAGCCACCTTTGTCTCCCCAGTGGCGATGTTCACACACCGCACCAGGTACTCATTTGAGGTTGAGTCGACCTAGGCAAGGCCCATGACCGGTTCAGATAATCGTTACTGCTATTGACCGTGAGCAGTAATCTAACTCGGGTCGCCAGGTTCGTAGAGCAGCGCATTAACAGCGACACAACCGCTCCCCTGTTTGCGATATACGTTTTTTTACTTGACTTGACTACATACACACACGAAACAAACTGGAACGAAGATTTTTCAGCTGCCAACTTGGCAGCCGAAAAATGCATTGTGTTTCCGCTACCCTCTCCAATGGACGCAGCGCTAACG